TATATATATATATATATATATATATATATATATATATATATATATATATATATATATTTAATAACGAAAGCGAAACATTTCGTCGGCGTGGTGTGCACGTCATCTTGCGAAATTCTATATATATCGCTCGCGTCACTTAAATGCGGATGCATTCGAGAATATTTGTTGCAGGCATTATGTCACGGATGTTTATAACGATTGAAATGTCGCGATAAAATAATGTTATGCAGATAAATGTTTACGTGCGAAACCGTGTCCGCTGACGTTCCCGTTCGTTCGGGAACAATTCTGCCGTCTCTGTTCGGAAGGATTAAAAGAATAGTCGCTTATTTATGCGAGTACGCGTGACATATAAGCACGGCTGTGTGAACGCAACTATGATAATTACGAATGACAATAGTCCGTGCGCGAGCGGAGGCGATTTCGATTCTGCCGAAATCATGGGTCTCGTCGATCGCGTACATACGCGTGCGTCTCACACCGAACGCAAAACGACACAATCTAGACGGGTGTATGTACTACAGGCTAATTCGATAACGTGTCACATCAAGTATTAGAAAGGATCCCTCTGAACACTCTACGTGGGAGAATGGGCAGAAAGCATTTTCTTCCGCCGAGTGCGAGATTGGCAAAGTAATGTCGAATGAGCCGAGCTGTATGCTTCGCTTTCTTCTGTGTGGTGAAATTGCTTCTTTCCGAGGGAGAATATAACCTCAAAATGCGACTGAATTCCCATTCTCGATCGAATGTTACGGATATTTCTAGGTGTATGATTCTAAAAAAACTGCTAGTTGCTATGAACTGTGCCTTTTTGAGGTTATAAATCGAAGCTCCCGACACATTACCGCACTCTTCGCAAAAACGCGTGTGTAGCATTAAACGCCTAGTTATGTGCATTGGTTTATGAAACACATCCCGTATCCTCATTTGGTCTTTTTAATTTTCTATTGATAGACTTACGCGAATGAAGGATGAATGATTAAATATAGTTGCAAGCTGCCAAGCAAGTTTTAATAAGTGAAACTCGAACGGGATATATGCACTGCGTTTAACTTGCATTTAATCACAAGATATTAAAGTGACGTGAAGTATAGATAAGCAGATAAAAAACGCCTATAATAATATCATCTGTATATGATAAAGGGATATGACTTATCATGGTATCACTTGTCTGGTGAGTAAGTAATATCTAATTATATATCTAAACACACGCACACACACACATATATATATATATGTATATATATATATATATATGTATATATAATGTAAAACAAGTTTTACTATTCAAGTCTTGCTTTCAGCCTAGTCAGATGCAAGATTTGATGGTCCACTTGTATCACTGTTCTGTAAATGTAACTTAGATGACAGTCAGGCAATAACTGGTTGAAGAAATTATAAAAGAAATTTGTGGGAATGGGCAATTGTTTGTGTAAGGATACTCCAGAGGAACTTGAGACATACGGTAGTAACAATCATGCGGAGGCTCAAAATACTATACTACCAGAACCAAACATAAGTATGGACTCATCTGGAGACTCAGCGTCTCCTTCCTTCAGGTTTCCAACATCAGCAAACATTGATAAGCTTGTATTAGAAACACTGGGAAGTCTTGACACTCTAGTAGATAAGTGAGTATAAGACATTCATTGATACATGGACAGTACATCTACTTGTTCCATCTAATGAACATTGGTTTACGTGATCTATTCAGTGATCATGAGCCACCACAGGCAATGTTGAAACTGAATGCTATTGCTGACAAAGAAGATGGTTGGATACAAGTAGTTAGTTCTATGGTCAATGTTGTTCCAATGCACAATCCATTGGGCCCTTCTGTTATAATATTATTATTAGACGATTGCCCTTTACCTTCAAAGGTTAGCACTAATTCATTGTATTGCAAAAATGTTAAATAGTCATCAATATCAAATAATAATCATAGTGAGAGATTAGTAGTGACACTTATTTTTTGCTATTGTAGGACTCTGTGTTACGATTATCACACATGTTTCAATTGTCACAAAAACTTGGAAAGATACAAATTACAGCCACACAGCAACGCAACATATGTGTAGTACTCGGTTGCATCGCAGAGAAACTGGCTGGACCTAGTAGTATAGCAATTTTATCCGATGCCACCTTAGACTATCTTGTTTCAAACTTAGTATGTTATTTTTATCTAAATAGTTCACACTGAAGCATCCAGCGGTATGTCAAATACTTCTCCAATGTGATTTTATTTTTTTCAGCGGGAAGATATCGAGCCTTATGTAGTGTTATATTCTTTAATAGCATTAGAGAAGTTTGCACAGACAAGTGAGCAGAATTTAATGATAAATATACATATATTAGTTTTAACAGACATTGTGCATAACATATATTGTATATTAACAGGTGAAAATAAGGTAACTATTAAGAAACGTCTTATGGCAGAAAAGCAGAATCCGCTGCTTGAATTGGAGAAGTGGACTACAGAGACACATCATGTGCGACGTCAAGTTGGTTTCTGTGCACAATGGTGTTTAGATAACCTATGTGAGTATAATAATCTTATTAGATCTTGTAATTTAGCTGCACCACATTCTGCACTAACGATGGTGTACTCAATGTTGATCTTTATTCTGTTCAGTTTTAATAGAAGGTAGAAAGTATTCCCATGACTCGGTCGATGTGACTGGTATTAATGTAATGTTAAATACAAAGGATGTAAGCGAGTACCTGAAAATATCACCTAATGGTTTGGAGGTAGATATTCAACGATATCATAACGTATCCTCCTTACGTATTGAAGTTGCTTATAATCTATCGTCATTTTAGGCGCGATGCGACGCGTATTCCTTTGAAAGTGTACGATGTACGTTTCAAGTGGATGAAGGGATATGGTATTACGAAACGCTGATAATAACCACCGGAGTAATGCAAATTGGATGGGCCACGAAAAACAGCACGTTTCTTAATCATGTAAACAATTTTCGTTTATAATATAGATAATTTTTCGTCTTTTTTTAAAAGATGTTAAACGTAGCATATAATATTAAGTTATATCAGACGTTTTCAAAGCATTTTCAGTCTTTGCATTTAAGTGCATGAGAACTTAATCTCCTTTTCTTTTTAATATTAGGAGGGATATGGTATAGGAGATGATGAATTTTCCTTGGCCTATGATGGCTGTCGTAGACTGATTTGGTATAATGCGCGAAGTGAAAAATTTCACGACAGACCATGCTGGAGATCCGGTGATATCTTGGGTTGCTTATTGGATTTAGATAGATTAGAAATTATATTTTCCATTAACGGTGTACCGCTTAAACCGTGCATCCAAGTATTCAAAACAGTAAGGTATGTGTACATATTAAAGCATCTAAAACAGAACACAAATTCCGCCGCATATTTACAAGCGAAAGAATTAGTGACATTAATGGGCTTTCCTAGGTCTGGATTCTTTGCAGCAGCTAGTTTCATGTCATTCCAGCAATGCCTTTTTAACTTTGGAAATGCACCTTTCAAGTATCCACCTACTGATCGAGAATTTCAGAAGTTTAACGACTACGCTACGTTAAAACCGGAAGACAAAATTGTACTTCCTAGACACATATATCTAGACCAATTGCGAAGACTTAGCGTTAGGGAGGATTCCTGTACATTATGCTTCGATCAAAGGGCATCGGTGAGGTTACTGCCTTGTGAACATAGGTAATATAATTTTATCTAATTGAGAGAGAATAATAATGCAGCAGCAAGTACTCTATAAGAATATAATGACCAATTTGTTTCCGCAGAGGATTTTGCCAAACCTGTTCGAAGCAGTTATTTGAATGTCCAATGTGTAGAGCTACTATCGAAGAAATGGCTCCTGATAACATATGACATCGGTCATATACAAATGTTGAGAAAATTTTTCTTTTAGAATTTGCATATTATCAATGTGAAACTCCAGTGCAAAAAACTATAAAATAATTCACAAAAACTTCACAAGATAATCATAATTATAATAGATAATTATTTGTACTGTATATCGCGTATACAGTCGTCACGTATCACATATAATTTTTTTGCAACACAATGAATTAGTAGATAATAGAACAGACTATAAATTTATAATAAATGTAAAAAATTCCGTGGTCGCAGTGAATGGTGAATGAGCGTACAACTTTGTTGTAAAGATTAAACTTGAAGATTGAGGTGCAAGAAAATATTTTATGAAAACAGAACATTCTTCTTGAAACTGTTCCATGTACATCTCTATACTTTTTGTACTATGTGTAGATTTATAGAGGAAGAAATTACGTGATTTATCAAGATTGTGGACACTTACGTCGAGAAAGAGAGAGATTAAAATAATATACACCGACTAAATATATTATTTATAATCAGACTAAAAAGGATTTCACTTTCTGCGCCATCACATCGCAAAAAGTGTTTCACTTCCACATGATAGTCACACTTGATGAGGGTAATGTATTTATTATCGCAAGAAGTGTAGTGGGTGAAGCTATTTGAAGTATATGTAGATGTAAAATCAAACAACGGCGAAAACAAATCTTTTTACGCTAAGACTTTCTAATTATCAACATAGACGTTTATTCTTAGAGAAATGTGCCCGTTACGCTTCTCGTGTTGTCGAATGAGATCGTTACTCTCGAGTAAATTTTGCCTAATGATTTTTTCTCTGAATCTTGCGACTACGATATGAGATTCGCGCGGAAGATTAGTCATCTATTAACTTGAAAGTTTCCTCTACTAGAATTCAAAAGTTCAGATTATTTGCAAAACTATTTATGCGCAAGTGAAAAACTTGTGATCTAAATGTTAATTTATCTTTAAGAGAAACTGTGAAATACTGATAATATAGAATATATATGTCAAAGTATATATATATATATATATATATATATATATATATATATATATATATATGTATGTATGTATATATATATATATATATA